AGTTGTCTAAATTCTCATCTTGTCGCCTACTTCGGATGCAAATTACTTCCTGGCTCTTTTTTGGTGCCGCCCGGATGACATTAATTTGAGTGGTGGAATCTGCCGAGATGAAATTGCGTAGGGGATGATTTCTCCCCTGACATTTGTTATGCCAGGGAGACAAAGTGTGGTGTCCAAGTGGCACTAATCGCATTTATTTTGTGGACAACTTTTTCCCTGCCGTGGATCCACCCCCAACTTTTCCCCGTGATAAATGATGTCAGATGAGGCACTTGTCGGAAGATGTGGGTGGGAAAAATATGGAAAGTCCATTCTTGGACAGGCGAATCACACAGATTTCATGCCTGTGATTTTTATTGTGCTCACGAGTATACAATTGCTCTCTGGCACAGCCAAAGGAGAGGGACCAAATTGAAAGAAGTCATTGTTTGTATTTGAAGCACATCATTACAATAATTCACCAATTCGTATCTCCCAAGATTCGCCCTAATTAATTATTTACCATCCACTCGTGCTCCTCCCACTCGGCGTAGATAGCGCGCGGAAGGAGTCTCGCAATATCGCTGAATACAAACAAATGGGTGATGAAGGGAAATTGCTCGCAGGGGCGGAGCAGCCCGCATTCGAAAGTGCCTGTGTCGCGGAGAGAAAAGGCGCAATTACAATTTAATGGCACTCATTTAAATTGTAAATTCTTACTAAATATTAGTAATTGCGCCACTTCCAAAAATACATATTATACGATAATTTAGGCACCAGCAGTATTAACTGCTCTCGCGCATCATTCTTCTGCCACCGGCTGTGGATGTGACACTGTCGCCGGAAAATTTGCTCACATTTGCCTCCTGCCTGAGAGACAACCGAGGGGTGTACAACTTGGCATCGCTTTCAGAGTTATCCAAGGATAAAGCACCACAGAATGGCAGACTCACTCAATCACTTGATTTCCAACACTATTTCGATAAGACTGCGACACCCCTTGACGAGTTTCGCCTCAGGAATTCGTGAAGACACGACAATACTCTGAAGAATGAGACTTTCTGAGGTTTCCGTGAAATAATAAAAGCCATCACTTCAGCTGTGTCCATTTGTGCCTGCCTTTTAGACAGTGTGGCACAGTGTCTTTTGTCTTCTGGACTCTTAATTGTGAAATTATTTATAATTACTCGGCACAGCATTACGATGTCGTTTCACCCATTACAGCGGCATCATGAAAAGCCAATGGAAATGTGCTCACAGTGTGAAAATTTTGGAAGCACTGCGCATTAAAGCGTTTTAGAAAATTGCGAAATAGAGTGAAAAGTTCTTCATTCCCCTCATTTGCCTTCACTCATTGCTGCAAAGTTTATTCACAATGAATTAGAAGAGTGGAAACCACTGTGCAAAAGGGTTGTTATTGTGATGATTCTCATCCCTTTTGAGGTGTATTCACTTTGCAAGTGTATGACAGAAGACTCGCTGTATTTTCTCAATTGCAAAGTCTTCGTGCAAAGGTTGAAGCGGCAAAGCGAGATTCCAGAGGAAAGCTTCTTCAGTGAAATTAAATGATTGCCCTTCTTTAAATTGTCTGCACCATCTCTCGTAAGTCTTTAATCAAGAGTAGTAAATTGCATTGCACATCCAGACATCCAATAGCATGCGAGTTCCGTTCTGTGACAAAATAGTGAAACTCTGTCTCGGATGGAAAATGCTCATGGTGAGAGCATTTAAGCAGGAAATAGAAAATATAATTCGCAGACGGCGAATCATGTGAGGCAGACAAACACGTTTCACATTTATTCCCATTTATACCCCAACCCCAGGCCATATAGTCCCCCCGAAAACGACGGGGAAAACAGTTTGATATCAACTGAATTACATAGACTTTCAGGAGCAGCGAAAAGACACAAGCTCGTAAACTACCCGGCCAGACTGCTCATGAATGATGGCTGCACCATGAGCACATTTCAAAGTGATAATTGACTCCAACAGATATACAAGTTATTACTTTGTCGCACAATTCAATTACCAACTCAGCGAAAATGGCTTTTCACTTGCAGTGCCACCCTCGGGAAGGCGTCCGTGTGGTGGGAAAAAGGCAAAGAAGCCCATTTTAATTGCAGTCACGCACGCAAAAGAGATGTAATTAAAATTTTGCACTACAATTCACTTATTCCAGGGATTATGCCGGCTTGGTTGCCGGTGAAATTTAGGAGGTATGAAGCCGCTTTTCCATATCTGCTCTATAATTAAATTGTACAGCAAAAACATCCTCGCGAACCAAACCAAGCTATTGTAGAGTTATTTTTGCATATGAAACACCAACAATGGTCTTGTTGAAAATCGGTTTTTGTTAAGGTTTCATTATTGGTTGCTATCCTTCTGTGTTTTCATACGAATTGTCCATTTCACTATATTGTAAAAAGGGAAGCAAATCAAAGGCAACGGATTTTAATTTAAAACAAAATAATTAGCCAAAAATCCAATGGGAAAATTCCACTGTGAATTCACTTCAATCGTATTCTTCGGTCACTTTGTAACTGCCAACGGGTTGATTATTGTGAATATCGTTGCCGGCTGAGTATCCGTAGAGACTTCCAAAGTGCTGGTTAAGGAACAGCGGCCATCCGTGAACGCCATAGTGCGACAGTGCAAGTTGGACGAAGGGATTTGGCGGAGGATGACGGTCATGAATCCCGAGCTTTGTCCCCAAGTCGCAACTGGGCGGTTCCTGTGGGCTGAAGAGGTGAACTTGCGTCGACGGAGACGATTGAATTGGCAATAAACGACGGAGATTGGGTGACAAATGTGAATTGGGGTGATTTTCTGGAATCCCCTTATCAGCTGTAGCATTCGTGTCGGTCGCAAAGCTCGGTGTGACGCTGATATATTGTGGTGGTGGATTTTTCGATGGTCCTCCTGGACGCCCCGTCGATGGTGCTCGTTCAACTTTCACGTGATTAATCCCAGGGAATTGATTTGCATGTTGTCCGACTGTCGACAAGGAGCTGGGCTGAGGTATTGACTCGAATCTCTCCTGCACTTGTCTTATTTGGCCAGATGTCGATATCACGTCTTGTGTGGTCCCACTTTGTGTGCCTTGTTTGCCTCCAGCTTCTCTCCACGGCACTATGTACACCCGCTTCTGCTTGCCACCCCTCACAATCACTCGCCAGTCCGTCCCTCTGTGGTGCATTCTGTAAATCGACGTCTCCGGAGAGCCGGCATAATTGTTGATAATAGCACTCACTGAGGATATGACCAAAGCAGAAATCACACAAATTTGCCAGAAAACTCTCATGTCTCTCTGGCACTGAACACTCTCGAAATCTCACCTGCAGCTACGAGTTGAGACAATCAATTGAACAGTTCTAATGAACATCTTGTCGTTTTATTCCAACCCAAATTGCACCGCCAATTCTCATTTGTCGGCCCACCAACAATTGATTGCAAACTCAATTTCCATTCTGAATAAATTACACATATACATATATGCTGTGACGATGGAAAAAGCACTTTCATGTTCAATTCCAATGGGAGAAAAGCGAAATCTTCCAAACTGGACAATACGCCCTCATGATAGAGAAATTTTTGCCTCTCACTTTCAACATCTCTCAGCGTTGGTAATTTTCTGGCTGAAAAATGTCTGTTCCACTTAACCAGGAAGTTGTTGTTGTTCTAGCTGAAAGACACAAAAGCGGCCCGATACGTGATTGTAATGCTTAAATTTGTGTTGATTAATTAACAGAGTCCAGTGAATTTTCAAAGAAGATAATTAAATTTTGCTTTTCACATTGCAATTTTCATTTCGGATATCCCAGAGAATTTGATATCCTTGCTTTGCAAATGCTGATTAATTGAATTGATTGTCCAGTGCTTTAATACTGTATTAAAGTCAATAATTGATAGAATAAAATTTGAATTCTTCACCAAAATGTTGCCGAATTCAATGCAATTGCATGTGGCCAACAAGTGTGGCTGTTTGAGGCACGTTTGGAGATTTGACATGCCTTTTCCTGGGAGTGAATCTGCACCGCACAAGGAGTGCCGATGAATTAATTACACCCACAATTTCCACTATTGTTTCAACTTTCACCCATCACGAGATCGCATTAATATTTGTCGAGAGCAGTTGTAGTGCTGTTGCCTGTCGCCAAAATGGGTGTCCATTAACTCAACAGCAGTCGATGGGAGCCATCGATGGGGGCATGGAAAAGCCACAATTGTCACGGAAATGAGGAGTGCGTGGAAGTTTTTGAGGTCTGGGTGTGATTTTATTTGAAAATTTAATGGTGTATTTATTCCTCGGCTGTCGGTGTATAAATCTCCCTTTATCCGATGGTAGATGACGACGAAGTTTGTATCGAAGAAGGCCCACCAGCGTTGAGCATGCAAACGGAGGGAGGATTACCGAAAAGGCATTTTATTTTTATCTCAAGACAAAATGTGTGGAGTCGAAGTGAATGGGAGAGTGACAAAGAATGGAATTGGGAGGGAAGGCTTTTTTCCTCTGGGCCGACATAGGAAAACTTTGGCTTGAAGATGTTATCATGGAGCTCAAAAGTGTGTCTTGAATTTGCATAACAAAAGCCATTTCATTGTTGGCAGCCATAGGCTTTTCCACTCTCTCCTCGGCCACCATAGCATATTGTACAATAAATGTGTATTTATTATTATTGCAAGAAATACACTCTGCAGAGTGAATTCTCTTGTACACCAAAATTCAATGGATCAGCAGTGAATAGGAGCACCTTCTCCACTCAATTTACACAGGCACTTTTCCCGTATGCCCACAAAACTCCGCGATTGCTCCACTTCGACAGCACTTTAATTGAATTCACTCTCAAGTTTCTGCATTTTTAAAGATTTTAACACCATTTGGCAGCTCATCTGATAATGTCACGCGGTCGGAGGAATCAATTGGGAAGTCAAGCGCGATGGATGGATTTTTAGCGCGTCCGTAATGGAATAGTTGTGTCTCTCGCGCCGGAATGCTAATCCATTAATTTGCCTCTCCGCAGCCAAGGCAGTCCCAGAAGTGGCGCAACTTCTCATCGCTCATGCGATGGATCACGAATCTCCCTTTCCTTCACGGAGGCGTGAGGAACTGTCCAAGATTCTGAATTTCATCCTCCTGAATTCGCTGATGATTGAAGAGGTTTGCAATTGCATCTCGAAGACGTGTCGTTGGATTGGAAGGAAATTGATCAAGAATCTAACGACGAATTCCAATTAATTACATCAGTCTTGAGATGAATTTCTTGAGATTGTCCGGTTGATTGCACTCTTCTTATTCAATGAATCGCGAAGAGATTCTCTTCCCAGCAACGAAAAGAGGTTCAAGTCACAAATCTACTCGAAAAACACAATTTTTCCTCCTTCAAAGGCATTTGCATGAGATCACTCTCAAGACGACAACTCAGGCGATTTTCAACAGTCTTAATTGCTTTCCGGGAACTCGGAACAATTAGCGAGAAGGTGAAAACTGCTGTTATGTCCCCTGGAGGTTCTCTCAGTCAATTTCTCAGCAATTCCTTCAAAGCCCTCAAAGCATTTTCCAGGATATTTACTTCGGGATTTTCCCAGAAGCGCAAATCTGCAATTGAGAACAGTTCTCAGAGGCCATCCAGAATGCTCCAATTCGGCGGCTGCTCTTGACAGCGAATCAGCGACCAAGTGCCGTGAAATTCAGCCGAACAACTCGCCCAGAATTCACCCCAGGACACTCTCAGAGGCTCCCGGGCTACAGTCTGGTCGGCCTCCGCGAATCATCCCGCGAATTCGTTGTTCTTTGACGTCAAATGCAGCGCTTGTGTGACGGAGAAAAATGCGCTCCATTCACGTTGAGGATTTATGGGCCATTTCCGGCTTCTTTCCTCGCGATGGAGACTCTCTTTGCCGAAGCCACTCACGGAGGCTTCGCTAACGAGTCGGACGTGCCTCTGCCTCGAGTTTCACCTCACATCAGTCGCCTGTCACTCGACATTCCTAGAGGGATGGCACGGGTTAACACAGGGTGGAAGCTGAAGTTTCAGCCTGCCTTTGCCACATTAGCGGCGGCCTATATCGCTGCTGCTCTGCTTCAAAGAGCTTCTCGAGGCAGCAAAGTCGGTGTCAAGTGGCATGTGATAAACATTCCTTTGGCAACATCAAAAAGGTTTTCCACGAAAATCCATCCTCTCAGACAAGAATTTTCACTTAAATTGTCATAAGAAAAGGATACTTTCCATAATTGCATGCCTTTTAATTCTGTTTAGTGTGTGGGTGGCGTTTCACATTTCAGCAAATGTGTACGCTGAAATAATTCCCATCTCTAATTTATGCTATTTGCAGTGAATCTGTAAATATTTGTGACACAGGAGGAAATATACGTTAGTTTGTGCGGAGTGCCTTTTCCTATATTGTGTGCATACCTGGGAAAATTTCATCTATTAATTATACATTTGCTAGAGCAATAATTTAATTTGATTCCCATCTCCACTCAGTGAAAATTCAATTTCCATATTTAGACCGTGATTTCTGGATGTGACATGTTGTGGAATATTATCTCACTTAATACTGGCATACATGCAAATTAAACTCTTCCCAACAGGCAATAGTTCTTGCCGACTGTCTGAGTCACTGGGAATTATGGCAGAAATGAATGGGAATCATTTTAGCCATTAGACACGCTATATCGTTTGTGAATTGCGCATGCAAGGAGAACGACTGTGTGTGTGGAACACAATGCTGAAGGAATTGAAATCTGCTAGGCATGCTAGGCAATCTATGAGTGAAGTCTAGGAAAATCTGAGGGACTTACTCTCACGTAGTTGGAGATAGAATTAATTTTTACATTCAACATTCTTCATCCGTTTTCTGCCATCTTTGTAACGCAGTCCACCAGGTAGAGTAATTCAGTTCTAGCTGCCCCCCACAGATATGCGAGGGGCATAAATTAAAAGAGTTATAAGAGAGCAAGGCATATTAAGTGTGGCTGAATGGAAATCCACTTTCTCCTCACAATACACCCATTTTTCTCCATTATGCATGAATTCTCAGTGCCCGAGAGTCCCAGCCGGAGCATCTGTGTGTTCTCGGGCGTCGAGACGATTACCCGAAATGGATCATTAACATGGAGGCAATGAACTATATTTGACAAAGCCATAGACACTCCAAAATCCCACTCCTCTTGTTCCTCAATCCGAATCGGTTCCATTTGTCGGTTCATTTATTTGTTCAGCTTTGCACACTCACGAGACTCACTCGCCTGTTATTTCTTCGAGTGGAAATGCACAAAAAAATGCACTCTGAACGAGTTCGAGGCCTCAAGTTCACACTTCTTGTTCAAACTATGCCATTCGCTATGACTGACGGGGGTTTCACGATTTTTTTTTTCATCTGCCGCGAGTCTCCCTCTCATGGAAGTATGGGAAGTATGGATATTTCCGTATTAATTGAGCCGTTGCAGGAAAATTCTGGGTTGCTCGACGTGATACAAGAGTTCCACGAATTTCGCATGCAGAAATAGCAATTCTGCAAAAATGTGATTCAAAGCTGCGCACCAAAATCCAATTAAAATGCTACTAAATATGTACATTATGATTTGCAGAAAATTTATATAAGAGTTACTCTATTTTAGTGAAATTTATTGGAGAAAATTCCAGGATAAACACTCCTGATTTCTTTTATTAACTCCTCGGGACATATTTGCAATTCTTGCTCACCATGTGTAATCATTTTAGAACAATATAGAGTGAGTTTTTTCATTTCGCAAATGCATTTCACTGCGAGCATTTCAAGGGTTCTCGGCGAACAATTTGTTGACTGCAGAAATGCCATGGAAAAAGAACAAGTTGAGCAACATGGAGGGATGATGGAGTGACTGCCATGAATACGGGAAAAATGAATTTAATGGCAGAAAAGCATCCACTTGAGAGCAAATATTAGCGTTTCTGCATAACTGGATTAATTGAAAATATAATCCTCTCGTGGATGCACGGAATGCGAATTTCCTTTTGACGTTGCACATGAGGAAGGGGGGGGCACTTTTATTGCGACCGAGAGCCAAGGCATTCTTGTAATAACTGTCGAGTGGATGATATCATAAATCTCTGCGTGCGGGATGGGACATTTTGGCAGAAGGATTTTTCTCGGTCAGGAGCATCAATAAAACTTGAGATTTTTCCACTTATAGTGGGAATCTCTGTAGAGTCGCCCTTCTGGGGAGTGGTGCAGAGCCCACTTTAGCACTGGAATTGTCCAAATTGATAACCTCCTGGGGTGGGTGTGGGGATATGAATCTCTGGAGTGGAGGCGGTGGACCATAACCCATCGGAAGTGGGTTGTGATTTATTGATCGTATCACACGGAATCATCACGGATAAATTAGGACGTGACTTTTGTCGGCTAAGCCGGATTTATTGCTCCACTGGATAGAGAAATGTAATTCTCATACTCTCTATAACCGAAAATGCTGCTGGGTGAAAAGGGAAAGTTATCCATTTTTATCCCTCACCTAACCCACCCTCTGGTGGGCCTTTTTTTCACTGCCACCGCCCAATACTCTGGGGCGGGGAGGTTGAAAATATTTTTCATCAGCTATATTGGAGTTAGTAAATCACTCGCTGTGTGGCTCTTATGCAGAAATTCCACCCTCGTGAGAGGGAGAGGGGGTGTAGAATTCTTTGTTTATGCCACCACGCATCGGCTCCAACCCCTTGTTCGCGACGTGGCCCACTCCAATCCGCCTGTCGCCGGCAAAATGAATCATTTCACAGTAGTTTTGAATCACCCCCCAGACAGCCCGAGGGGTCCGGGCGAGAGAGCATCGCCATGGGGTTCGGGCTGGGCGCCAGTGGAACTCAATACACTTTCCACTTCATTAAGGCGAATGTATCATAATGCGAGAGCGAGAGGGGTTCATGCGACAATGATTTTTGTCAAGCACCCATGTTTGCCAAGCATAATGAAGTGGTTAAATAAACTAGATGTTGCCCTGTTAAGGGTGCCAATGCGAATGTCACTCAACGATGACAATCAATTTTGTCGATATTTTAGCATGTGTTTATACACCAACTACAACCTCTCAACGCACTGTTTCACTTCAATAATTCAGCGAAGCGACGGTGTAATTGCATCCAACAGGGATCTGTTGTGTGAGTTGAGCTTTCTGCAAAGAGTTTAATTACTTTGCACACCATTGTGGATAAACTTTAGTTAAATATTTATCTAAACAGTTGCATCAATAATGCCAAAAGTGATTAGATTTTCATTGGGAACTTCTCACTTGCCTCTGTTGGTCTCCAAGGATGTAAAGAAATTACTGAAATTCATACTTAATTTGCCAATCAAATTACGCATGACAAAACAAGATTTTATTTCGTGTGCATTCTTTCATTTAAACGTACAGTAGCGGAAATTAGTTGAGCACACCAATGAAATTTAGGCCAATTTCCCTCTTGGTGCAAAAAATTCGCATTTCTTTCAATTTTTCAGATATTTATTGTAAGACAAAAAATGATCCGAATTTTATGATCTTTCAAATGATGTTGAGATTATGACGATATCTCAATTTGGGGCCGAGATATTGCAGAATACAGAGAGATTTGCTTATAAGAACTGTGAAAATTACATTAGGACACTGGCATATTTTGCTTTAAATCCATGTCATAACCATAAAAATGGCTAGAATCACCACATTAAATCCAGAGTTTCGAATGTTCAGAAGACATTTTCATCAAATTTCTTAGGTGTACTAAACTAACTTTCGCTACTGTATATGATTGAAGATACCCAACACTGGGAATAATGATTCAATGAACTCGCACCCGTATCGTGTGTTGAAAGTGCTTCACCCATTCAATTTAGGCGACATTAAAATCATTTACATAATGATCCCCTGGGTAAATGAAGTGGAACATTGTTATTTGAAAAGTTTCAACCATTTTTTCCCGCCTGCCTCATTGCCATCGACATGAAATGTGACCGCCTCAGCAATTTTCTGACGAGTGAGATGAGAAATATTCTGAGCCGAGCAGATAATCTCGTGTGAGGCAAAAACGCGTCCACCAGCAATAACTTTAATTCAATTAGTGGAATTAGTTGGGTATCCACTCTGGAGTGGAATCAGATTAACATGCTGAATGCATTTGGGACTCTTTCATGCGGCACATCACAATAATAACCATGAAAAGTTTTATATGCTGTGCGCCAACCACAATAAAAATGCTTCGTATGCATTTCAGCTGCATCTCATGCGGACTGTCTGCAGAGCAGTGGGAATGCTATGTAAATTTGAGAAAATGCATTTTTCTGTCCACGGAGAATTTTTTTTATTTCTCCATGATAGACAAACAGTTTTCCCGACAACGCGGCTAGTCCACCAGAGATTTTTCGTGTCCCGCGAGACATCAAACACAATAACTTTGTGGTTTAGTTTTGAAGCGCATATTGTGCATGATTTTACCGTGAAAGAGGTAATTCCAATTCGGCCGCAAATTTCATTCACGCCAGCTTCGTATGTTCTGTGTGACAAATGCCAGTATTGTACATTATCTGGCTAAGCCTATAGAGTTGATCTTTCGAAAATAGCAGCTCTTGCGCAGGAAGAGAATTTATGAAAGTTCACTGAATTGAAAATTAATGACGTGCCACCTGAAATCATCAATAAACAACAATTAGAATTGTGGTTGAGTGGTGATAAATCAAGAAAATATGTGGAAATCAAGCTGGAGAAGTCTTTTGTAAGGCAAAGAGAATACTGGTTTTCTTCTAAGGAGAAACTATGTGAGAAACGTAGGAGGAATTTTTCGGAAGATGCCTGAAAATGATACGAAAATGATGATTATTAATTCCAACTGGCTGTAGCCGATAAATTATTAATTTAGATTAATTGTAATGTTGCGGGAGCTCGAGAGAAGTGGGTGGTTTTCGAGGGGAATTAATATTAAGAGAAGGTGTGATAAGCCTGCAATATATTCAATAATAATTTTCCTCATGCCCATCCGAACATGTGTGGATGGAAACGTGAGGATAGTGGAATTTATTGTAAGGCAAGCGTGTGTTAGTGTCTAATTTATATCTGAAAAGAAGTTCAAATAAATTAGATCAATTCGTTAACAATACCTTGTAAGAGGCACCGTATTATTGAGAACCTCCTCGTTTTCTCACAAACGG